TCTAGCTAATTCTTCTCCTTATCTCTCCATATACTCATATAAAAGAGTAAACATTATTATTTAATCTTTGCAGTTGATATTTGTTTAGATTTGCCCATATATTTACCAATATCTTTGCTCATCATTTGTTTTTACATCTTACACCTTCAATATGAGGTCATTTTCTTTTGGCTAAAAGTATATCCTTTATTCTTTCAGTGAGAATCTTTTGATGGAAAACCCTCTTTGTCTGAAAATGCCTTTACTTTGCCCTTGTTCTTGAAAATTGGTTTTGCTGTGTAGAATTCTAGTATGACAGTTAAATTCTCTCAAGATATTGACAATATTATTTCACTGGCTCTTTGCTTTCATTGATGTTGAATTAGTCTAATTGTAATCTGTCTCATTTTCTCTCTGGCTACTTTTTTTTTTTTTTGCCATGAGGTCTCACTGTGTTGGCCAGACTGGTCTTGAACTTCTAGGTTTAAGTGATCCTCCCCCCTCAGCCTCCCAAGTAGCTGGGATTATAGGTGCACACTACCATGCCCCATTTTCTGGCTGCTTTTTAAAAACAGCTTTATTGAGATATAATTCACATACCACACAGTTCACCCATTTAAAGTAAACAATCTGCTGGATTTTAGTATAGATCACAGATATGTACAACCATCAGTTATGGTCAGTTTTAGAACATTTTCATCACCTCAAAAAGAAGCCCCATACCCTTTAGCTGTCCCTCCTCTATTTTTCTATTCCCCTCGGCCCTAAGTAACTCCTAATCTATTTTTTTCTTTTTATAGGTTTGTCTATTTTAGATATTTTATGTAAATGGAATCATGTATTATGTAGTCTTTTATGACTGGCTTCTTTTACTTAGCAAGATGTTTTTAAGTTTCATCCATGTTATAGCATATATCAGTACTTTATTTTTTAACCTCTTATAACTTTTGTTATTTTATGTTATAAAATGCACCATTTTAACCATTTTAAGTGTATAATTTAGTAGTATGAATTATATTCACAATGTTGTGCAACTATCACCACTATCTATTTCTAAAACTTTGTCATTACCCCAAACATAAACTTTCTACCCATTAAACAGTAACTCCCCATTCTCCTTTCTCCCTGCTCCTGGTAACCTCTAATCTGCTTTTTGTCTCTGAATTTGCCTATTCGAGGTACTTCATTTAAGTAGAATCATACAGTATTTGTCCCTTCGTGTCTGCTTCTTTCACTTAGCATAATGTCTTTAAGGTTCATTCATTTTGTACCATGTATCAGAACTTCATTCCTTTTTATGGCTGAATAATATTCTTTTTTTTTTTTTTTTTTTGAGACAGGGTCTCGTTCTATTGCCTGAGCTAGAGTGCCGTGGCGTCAGCCTAGCTCACAGCAACTTTAAACTCCTTGGCTCAAGCAATCCTCCTGCCTTAGCCTCCCCAGTAGCTGGGACTACAGGTGCGTGCCACCATACCCAGCTAAATTTATCTATTTTTAGTTGCCCAGGTAATTTCTATTTTTCAGTAGAGATAGGATCTTGCTCGTGCTCAGGCTGGTCTCAAACACCTGACCTCAAGCAATCCTTCCACCTTGGCCTCCAAGAGTGCTAGGATTATAGGTGTGAGCCACTGCATCCAGCCTGAATAATATTCTATTGTTATGTATATGTAGTTGGCCTTCCGCATCTGTGGGTTCTGCATACATGGATTCAACTAACTGCTGATTGAAAATATTTTTAAAAAGCCAATAAAAATAATACAAATTCAAAAAAATAGGGCCTGGTGGTTCATGCTTATAATCTCTGCACTTTGGGAGGCCAAGGCGGGAAGATTGCTTGAGCCCAGGAGTTTGAGGTTGTAGTGAGCTATGAGGATGCCACGGCTCTCTAGCCCAGGTGACAGAGTGAAAATCTGTACAATTATTTACATAGCATTTACATTATATTAGGTATTATTATATAGGTGTTTTTTTTTTTTTTGAGACAAGTTTTGCCCTGTTGCCCGGGCTAGAGTGCAGTGGCATCATTCATAGCTCACTGTCACCTCAAAGTCCTGGGCTCTAGCAATCCTCCTGCCTCGGCCTCCTGGGTAGGTGGGACTACAGGCTCGGCTAATTTTTCTATATTTTGTAAGGAGAGGAGTCTTGTGGTTGCTCAGGCTGGTCTCAAACTCCTGACCTCAAGCAATCCTTCTTGCTCAATATTTAGCATTCCTACTTTCACTTTGTTTTTGGAAACTGCACATTCTTTTATTTCATGACAGCTCAGAAATGGCTTAAACAGCTGGATACAATATAGAAAACATTGCTAAACTGGCAAGAAAGCAGGCAGGGTCATTCAGGGTATCTAATATATAGTATTTCTATAGATGATAATCAGGTCATTGGAATTGAGATTAATAAACTGTTAATAAACTGCAAGGCTAACTCGATTGATAGACATGGACATTAAAGTATTCTGGCATGATATTGGGATTAGCGTTGAAGCAGAAAACTGAGTCAGATTCCAAAGACCTTAGTGAATTTTGGGAAGGTACTAGGAGATTAGTAGTGAATTGATAGGGTATAGATAAGGTAGGGGTAGTGAAGTTGGGTGGACTTAGTCTCAGAGGAGGTCTTTTTCTATACAAGGGTGAAAGAGTGGTGACTTTTAAATGTCAGTAGAAGGTAAGAATGCTCATCCCTCCTGCTTGCCCTGTGGTACACAGATGTGGTTAAATGATAAGTAGTATGTAATTGACTCTCTCTCGCCTTTGATATCTCTCTTAACGTCACATTGTTTCTGTTCATAAACTGACCAAATTGCAATACAAGTGTTTAAGCTTTATAAAGAATGGGAAATAAGAAGGTATACTTTCTCCTTTCTTCTAATAGACTGAGTTTTTTTTTCACAAAAAAAAAAAAAAGGTTTATGCTGGAGGTTGTCTCCAGCATACATTCTCATGTGTCCTCAAAAGATTGTGTGAAATGAAGGCTTTCCCTAAACTGAGTTCTTGTAGGCAGGGACTGAGCCTTTTATAACCCAAGTACTTATTAACACAGTTCATGGCACACAGAATGTAAACTTCATGAAAGCAGTACTTTTTTGTCTGTTTTATTCCCTATTCAATAAATAATTATTTCATGAATGCATAGGAACTAGTCATAAATGTCAAATCAGTTGCAATCTACCTGAGTAGTTTTCATGATGCTGACTAGAGAATTTCTTATTCAGCTTGGCAAGAGGGAAGGTGGCCTACTTTTCTTCTTTTTCCTTTCTTTTTTCCTATCTTTTAAAAAATATATATTGAAGTATAATATACATGCAGAAAATTGCCTATATCATAAATGATTAGCTCGATTTTAACTAACTGAACATATTTGTGTAAATATCACCCAAATCGAGAAACAGGGCCTAACTTTTAAAATCAATACTTCAGAAAAGTCATTTTCATATAATTTGATGGGTGTCTGAATCTGTAGTGACCCAGATGTTGTCACTAAATGTTGGCCAGAAAGGGAATTGTAAAATTTTTGATGCTTATGAGTTTTTCCTTTCTAGATATGATTAAAGGAGAATGTCAGATTTCTTATAATGCTTGAGCCTGGGGCAAGTGATTACATAACACTCATTTCATACTCAACATGATGAATAGTGTTGCTAATGGTTCATATCCTAGGGATGTGAAGTAACCAATTTTTTTTCCTGACCTCTAGCAATCCTACTGCCTCAGCCTCCCAAGTAGCTGGGACTACAGGCATGTGCCACCATGCCTGGCTAATTTTTTTTTTTTTTTTTTTTTTTTAGTGGCCTGGCTAATTTTTTTCTTCTATTTTTTAGTAGAGATGGGGTCTTGCTCTTGTTCAGGCTGGTTTCGAACTCCTGACCTTGAGCAATCCTCCACCTTGGCCTCCCAGAGTGCTAGGATTACAAGCTTGAGCCACTGAGCCTGGCCAGCAAACTTTTTCTTAAAGGGCCAGGGACCAGGTAGTAAATATTTTAGGCTTGAGGGCCATACTGTCTCCGTCACAACTACTTAACTCTGCTTGTGTAGTGCAAAAGCAGCTGTAGATGACACATAAATGAATAGGTGTGACTATGTTCCAATAAAACTTTAATTCCAAAACAGGTAGACCATAGTTTATTGACCCATAATCTAGGATAAGACCTCAACAGATGGACATTCAAAATGAAATGGTATAGGGGAATTGGTCGGTCAGTAATTTAATTAAATTTATTGAGTGTGTGCTATTTACCAAACTGAGGACTAAACTATTAATTAAATTCTTGTATGTCTGTTCACTGGAATATGAAGCATTATTGAAAATGATAATTTTGAAGATGAAACAACATGGGAAAATGCTTTTAAGTGGAAATCAAGATAAAAGTTTTAAGTTTGTATCTTAATGCATATGGATTAATGTTGAAAGAAATGTATGAATTTTTGTTAGGTAGAAGGATCATGGGCAATTCTGTTCTGTGTTTTAAATTGTGTGCAGTGTTTTTATACTCCAAAAATAGCTAAAAATAAAAGGACCTAATGGGATGTCAATTAAAACTGTTATTTTTATCAGCTGATCACAGTGGTTCATGCCTATAATCCCGCAGCTTTGGGAGGCTTTGAAGCAGGAGGATCGTTTGAGGCTGAGTTGTAGACCAGCCTAGGCATATATTGAGACCTTGTCTCTACAAAAAAATAATAATAATAAAAATTACCAGGCATGTTGGCACAGGCCTGTAGTAATAGCTACTTGCGAGGCTGAGGTAGGAGGATCACTTGAGCCCAGGAGTTCGAGGTTACAGTGAGCTATGATTACACCACTGCACTTCAGCCTGGGCAACAGAGTGAAATGCTGTCTCTTAAAAAAATACTGTTTTTTATCACTACTGAGTAGTATGAAAAAGAGAAGCTTTGTAAAACCATTGTTCAGTGAAATCCTGAAGCCTTTTACTTAATCTGCATAAGATTGACATTTAGGGAAAATGTGTTGCTGCTCTGTTCAAGATATATTGTCATTTCTTTTTAATTTTTTTGTTTTAACAGTGCCCTTATGTCTGCCATTTTTTATATTTACTTACCAAAAAAGAGAATGGTGAGTATTTTCATTTCAGTTGCATTACATTCACTTTGTAGAATTAGCATTTGTATTGGCCTTTATAAAGTTAAAATAGCTATTAGCATTAGTTATATGACAGGACTCATTTTTAGGAAATGGCTTTTTAGTACTTTTATCTAAGAACATCTGCTTAATGGCTTAACAGGGTTTTTATATTCTTGATGTGTTGTAAGAAGAAACTACAATATATGAACTACAAGGTGGTTAAGTATAACCAATTTCTTTTTATTCTGAACCAAATACATAGTACCTCTTTTCTTTACCTTTTCTAGTCAAACCATTTCGTGTGAGAAAACTGCTTGATCTTCAAGCCAAAATGGTGAGTACCAAAAGACCTTAAGATAGGCCAGTGTATTATGTGCCAGGTACTGAGCTAGGCTTTGGGTATATAAAATCAAATGAAATTTTATCTTCAAGAAATTTACTTTCTGGGGAGCTCAGGCAACAAAATGAAAAATGAGAATCAGACATGGGGTCAAGGAGGAATGGTGATGCTTGAGAGAAATTTTAAGGGATGAATATGATTTAAGTAGGTAAAGAAGGGAGAGAGGGGCTAGGCGCGGTGACTCATGCCTATAATCCTAGCACTCTGGGAAGCCGAGGTGGTCGGATCGCTCCAGGTCAGGAGTTTGAGAGCAGCCTGAGCAAGAGCCACACCCCATCTCTACTAAAAATAGAAAGAAATTAGCTGGACAACTAAAAATATATAGAAAAAATTAGCCAGGCGTGGTGGTGCATGCCTGTAGTCCCAGCTACTCGGGAGGCTGAGGCAGAAGTACTGGTTAAGCCCAGGAGTTTGAGCTTGCTGTCAGCTAGGTTGACGCCACGGCATTCTAGCTTGGGCAACAGAGTGAGACTCTGTCTCAAAGAAAAGGGAGGGGGAGAGAAGGGCACTCTTACCAGAGTGAACAGCATGAACAAAGACATGTAGATGTCAAACAGCAAACATTGTTTAGAGAACTGGGTTGGTATGGCTAGAACAATATATGTTAGGGAGTGGTCAGGTCAGAAATGAGTTTATATTCTTTGTGGGTGGGATGTAGGATGTAGGCAAGCATTTCAAGACATTATCTTCTGGATACTTAAACTTCAATATATTCTCTGACTGTTATTATCTGTTATCCTTATAGCTCTCTTGCATTATTATTTCCACTATACCTGCCAGGTAACAGAAGTCTGTAAAGCTTTGGGTATAAAACAGTAGAAAGTATTAGTGCCCACACCTAACTGGAATCTTCATGGCCTGCCTAAAGGCATTCACACTGAATGAAAAACACAGACACAGGACACATTTGTATTTCTCCAGTGTGAGGTCTCCACTTAGTACAATTCAGTGATTGTTCTTGCCTTATAGCCTTCTGTTTTGATTCTATGGTACAATATCTTCTCTTAGTTTGCTGAGAATATTAATGGTAATGTTTTTGTCCAAATTTAATTTTGTTTCACATTAATAGAAATTGTGAAAAGATGTATATTTTTCCAGGTTACAGCGAAACATTTCAATGGAATAAGAAATTCTTACCAAATATAAGATCTTACTGATTTGTATGAACTGAAACACAGTGTATGTTCAAGTTAAAAAATGATTTATTAGATGATTGTCTAAAAATTTTAAGTTCATACAACAAATGTATGGTTTTATTATTAATATTCTCTATAGTTCATTACTAAATTATTCCACTGTCAACATCCATTTATAAAGATCCATTTCTAACTTTTTTTTGATTTAGCTGAATTTCGGTGAATTTGGGCAAGTCCAACAATATCAAACCAAGAAGGCATTGCCATGCTCATATGTAACCTAACATACATGATAGTAACAGGCGTAATTAGCACATGCGAACAAATATATTGGATGTGTGAATGTCTGATACCTGTAAAGGCATGTATCCTATCTATCCCCATTCATGCTCCGTAACTCCCAATCTATGAAGAAAACAAAAACACAGAAATTGCCTTTCTGGTGGTAGGCATGAATGGTGGGAAGTGGGGTAGGCATTATTATTATCTCACATACACTAGATGAGGGGTGGGGAACCTTTTCATGATGGGAGGCTGCATTAATTTGGCTATAATCAAATAAGGCTGTGTTCAAGAAACTTCAATTAGATGTACTTAAAAATGTACATTGTTTTGTAAAAATCTAACTACTATATACTTAATAATTTCAAAAAATGAAAACTATTTGTTAATTTTAAAGTTAATTAACCTTTTATTGACTATGTTGTATCTGCTTTTTGTTGGAAAGCATTTGAATATTTGGTTGTAGCATGAAGGTCTGCAGTTTCAGTTGCTCTTCTAGGTGGGTATCAGTCATTTGTGACCTGAAGGGCATCTTAATTTGGGTTAGGTAGGAGAATGTGATTTGCAGCAGTAAGTGGTTGCAAAGCAAGAAAGTATTTTTCAGGCATGTTGCCGAAGACATGGGTATTCTGCATTTTTCTGTATTTCATTTGGATCTTTCTTAGTATCGAACAATAACTTTAAAATGTCATCTACTAAGAACTGAATCAATTCCATCTGTAGTTCTTTAGGTGCCTTGGTGATATCAACTAGGTGAGGCTGAAATGCTAATTTGAGTGTGATGTCATGATTCTCAAAGTCAGTGAACCTTTCATTGCATTCTGCAATTAATAGGTGTATAACAGCTACATATTCTTCAAATGATTCACATATATCATCCTGCTCATCAGTGACCTTTGCTAACGGGAAAATGTTCACCTGAAAGTTCCTTTTGAAGAATTTTTCAAAATGCTTGGATCTTTTGCCACATATCATATATAGACTTAGTTTTACTTTGCAAAGAGGTATTCAAGTCATTGACATGAGGCCGGGCGTGGTGGCTCACTAATCCTAGCACTCAGGGAGACTGAGGTGGGAGGATTGCTCAAGGTCAGGAGTTCAAAACCAGCCTGAGCAAAGAGAGACCTCGTCTCTACTATAAATAGAAAGAAATTAATTGGCCAACTAAAAATATATAGAAAAAATTAGCCGGACATGGTGGCACATGCCTGTAGTCCCAGCTACTCGAGAGGCTGAGGCAGAAGGATTGCTTGAGCCCAGGAGTTTGAGGTTGCTATGAGCTAGGCTGACGCCATGGCACTCTAGCCTGGGCAAAGAGTGATACTTTCTCAAAAAAAAAAAAAAAGTCATTGACATGATACCACACAGAAATGCCACATTCTTATAGCAATCTTCTTTCAATAATTAACATTGCTGATTCTGTTCTTCAGAAAATTCATCTCTTCTCACAGAGATAAAATTTTGGCTAATACCTGTCCTGCATTTTACAATGCTATGGCAAATCCACACTGAATACCTCATTGTTCAACTTTAGCATGTTATGAAACTGAAGATTCCATGTTGTAGCTTTTAGCACAGTGATGCTGATGCAAGATACAATGAAAAGAAATGAGAGCATCTGGGTCTGTTAATAGTCTTTTTATCTGTGCAATAAACCCTTCATGTTTTCTTGTCATGGAAGGTATACCGTCTGTATGTACACTCACTAGATTTGCCAAATTCATTCCAACTTCATGACATTATCTTGAAAGTTGTTGAAGATATCTGTTCCCCATGTTCTTTTCACAAGAGTGCGCAAAGCGAGTAAGTCTTCACAACAAAGAGAATCTGTTATGACTCAAATGAAGTATAAAACCTGTACCGAGTCGGTAGTATCTGGTGATTCATCCAAAGCGATTGAATAATATATATTTTCCTTTTGAAGTATTGCCTGAAGTTCTGTTAAGTTGAAGGCTAATTCATGCTGCTGATCAATTATGGTTCTCCTTGAAAGAGGCAGTTGTTTGTACTTTGAAATGTTATCAGGGTATAAGCATCCTACAACTTTGACAATGCATCCTTTCACAATTTCTACATCACTTGAAAGGCTTCCTTTTCCCCCCCAAGTATATAAGCTACTTTATAAGTTATTTCAATGGCATTATTTCCAGGTCTTATTGATGCTTGAAAGAATTGTCTTTGCTTTTGCTTTTTATCTTTTAATTTCTGCAATACAACCTTTCATGCCTCTGCCTCTAATTTAAAATATTTGTGGTCCTTATGTATTATAATGCTGATGAGCATTGAATTTCTTTAATGTTGATATCACAAAGCAAGCAAATTATCTTACCTTTAGCAGAAACAAGATAATATTGCAATTCTCAATCCTTATTAAAAAAATCTGTTTTCTTCCTTCAGTGTTCTCTTGGTCTTCTTTGACATGATGAGCTATTAAGCAGACAGAATTAAAAAATACTGTTGAGCTGTGAAGCTATTCACAAATTCCACTTAAAACAGAAACACAGTACACCGTTGTCAAAAGCTGGTAACAGACTGCCATACTCAACCCCCATAAACTCTTGCCAACCAACCTCATGCGATAGTGGTGCGAATCAGGCATGGCAAGTTAGAACTAAATCATGATGGTAGCAGCTGTCAATTTAGCCCTTATGGCTTACTAATGTTCTAATTGTGCCTGTCAATCTGGGAGGATTATTTTGTTGAAACTTATTTTATTCTTTTGAATTTTAAATATGTTCATTTTAAAAACAAAACTATAAAAGACAAAAGTATATTAATAAAAATGAGAGGATTTGTTCTGTAAAATTTGGATTCAATCAAAAGGCCCTACTTCAGGACCTAGAAAGCCACATGTGGCCTTAAGGCCCTAGGTTCCCCACCCCTGCACTAAGGCCCTGTTGAGAACAGACTTTGGAACAAGAAGGGTGAGTTCAATCTCTTCCTAAGGATTTGTGAGGATGGTTTCCGGAATTCTCCCTCTACTAGGCACTAGCCTATATGTATGCAAATGGCTATGATGTGTTTTTCTGTTCTCAGCTTTGTCTCTGTTTCCTCAGAGTTCCTTTCTTTAGTTTGTTTGGTCTGTCTTCTCATGGTAGAGGTTTTTCTCAAATGTTTTGTAAAGCTTATTGTACAATGTAATAGTAAAACACTAAAATGATGATTGGAAACTTGTGTATATGAGCAGGATCTTGATGTTTCATTGGGAAGTTTCCTATATGTCTGTGTCAATTTTGCCAGAGAATTTTCTTGTTTCTTGCCTGTGGGGTTGCAAGGTTCTCCAGAGAAAGAGAATCAAATAGGGGTGTATGTGTATTATGTATTTATCATAAGGAATTGGCTTATATGATTATGGAGGCTGGAAAGTGCAAAATCTGCAAAGTGGGCTGTCAGGCTGGAGACCCAGGAGAACCAATGTTCCAGTTCGAGTTTGATAGCAGTCTGCTATGAAACCAGGAAGAACTGATGTTCCAGTTAAAGTCCAAAGACAATCTGCTGGAGAATTTGCTTTTCCTCTGGGTCCTGTTTTATTCAGGCCTTCAACTGATTGGATGAGACCTGCCCACATCATGGAAGGCAATCTCCTTTACTCAGAGTCTACCAATTTGTTAATCTTATCTAAAGCACTTGTCACAGAAACACCGACACGAATGCTTTTGTTTTTGTTTTTATTTATTTATTTATTTTTTGAGTCAGAGTCTCACTCTGTTGCCCGGGCTAGAATGCTGTGGCATCAGCCTAGCTCACAGCAGCCTCAAACTCCTAGGCTCAAGCAATCCTACTGCCTCCCTCCCTTGGGAGGCTGTAGTCCTCAGCCTCCCAAGTAGCTGGGACTACAAGCACACGCCACCATGCCTGGCTAATTTTTTCTATATATTTTTAGTTGGGCAATTAATTTCTTTCTACTTTTAGTAGAAACGGAGTCTCGCTCTTGCTCAGGCTGGTTTTGAACTCCTGACCTTGAGCGATCCACCGGCCTTGGCCTCCCAGAGTGCTAGGATTACAGGCGTGAGCCACCATGCCCAGTCGGACAACAGTGCTTGACCAAATATCTGGGCACCTTGTGGCCCAGCCAAATTGGCACATAAAATTAACCATCACAGGTATAAACCTGGCTACTGGCACTCTGGGACGTAAGCAATGGAAAGGAGTGAGGAATGGTCCTCAACTGTGCCTAGTGTCTAAGTCAAGGCTCATCTTCAGAGGGTAAAGCCCTAATGTCTTGGCAGTGTAGTGAAGGAATTTGGGCTATTAACTGTTTCTTATGTAGGTTTTCAAGCAAGCTTTCTGCCTTCTGTCCCTCTTACATCCCCACTTTTCAAAGATACCTGATCCCTCAAAATTCCTGAGCCTTTTTGGGAATTCTCAAGCATGAATCTGCTTCTTTTGAAGCTTTTTCTATTGATGTTTCTATTAGGTTTCCTTCTTTGTTCTGCTAACTTGGTTGTTGTTTGCTCATCTTCATTCTGGTTTTTAAAATTTTATTTAAATTTCTCATTTGTTGTTGTCTCCCTTCTTGTTCTCTTTGAACTTGTGTTTTATGCCTTTTTCATACTGTCTTTTTAATTGGGCTTTAATCACATATGTTCAATATGTCATATTTAACTGGATGTCTCCCCTTCACCTCTTTAGGGTTAACTGTTTAACAAAAAAGATAGATTTAGGCCAGGTGCGGTGGCTCACGTCTGTAATCCTAGCACTCTGGGAGGCTGAGGCAGGTGGATCGCTCAAGGTCAGGAGTTCGAAACCAGCCTGAGCAAGAGTGAGACCCCGTCTCTACTATAAATAGAGAAGAATTAATTGGCCAACTTAAAAATATATAGAAAAAAATTAGCGCGGCATGGTGGGCAATGCCTGTAGTCCAGCTACTCGGGAGGCTAAGGCAGAAGGATTGCTTGAGCCCAAGAGTTTGAGGTTGCTGTAAGCTAGGCTGACGCTACGGCACTGTAGCCCGGGCAACAGAGTGAGGCTCTGTCTCAAAAAAATAAATAAATAAATAAGCTAGATTTAGTTAACTACACAATACGTTCTAAAGGTCTCTGTACTACTAAATATTCGTTTTCTCAAATAAACATTCCAACTTAAAACAAATGCTCTGATAACTCATTGATAATGGGTGTACAGAGGTCAGAAGATATTTTCAACATAAATCGGGTCATTTTGATTTTGTTTTAATAATTTTAATTTCAAGAAGCTGTTATAAAATAGGAATACTGTATTTCTAAGCCTCATTTGCTGCCTTACTTTGTGTGTATTCAAGTCAATAAAATTTTAGTATAGCCAGGCGCGGGGGCTCACGCCTGTAATCCTAGCACTCTGGAGGCGAGGTGGGCGGATTGCTCAAGTCAGGAGTTCAAAACAGCCTGAGAAGAGCGAGACCCCGTCTCTACTATAAATAGAAAGAAATTAATTGCCAACTATAATATATATAAATAAAATCAGCCGGGCATATGGCTCGTGCCTGTGGCCCAGCTACTCGGGGGTGAGGCAGGAGGATTGCTTGAGCCCAGGAGTTTGAGGTTGCTGTGAGCTAGGCTGACGCCACGGCACTCACTCTAGCCTAGGCAAGAAAGCGAGACTCTGTCTCAAAAAAAAAAAAATTTAGTATAATAAAACAATTTGATTACTTCCTTGGAATTCATTTTAGTGGTATTCTTTCTCTGGTATAGCCAGATATATCTAACACAGGTATCTAGCAGTGTGGACTTCTTTCATTGTGAAGTTAGTGTTTTTGTTAAGACTTGTTTCAGTTTTATCAAAGCCGCTTGGCTACTGCATACCAATTTGTGATTTCGTAGTTAATTTTCCAAGAATTATGATAAACAAGTATTAATATTTCAGTTGTTCTTTTTTCTTGGCTTCCCTTTTGGTTCTACCTTGTTGATGTCTAAATCAAGGACAAGTAAACTTTGAGTCCTGAGTTTGCTACCAGTGAGAGTAAGCCATGTTATGCTACTAAGTATGACTGATAAGCGTAAGGTATGGGCAGAAAAGAAGATAAATGGGAAAAGAAGAAGAGAGAGAATATAAGGAAGAATTGGGAGAAAGGTTGTAAAAGAGAAGATCACAAGTTGGAGAGGGTTGTTTTATGATGGTTGATTTAAGTGTCTGGTTACTTATTCCTTGATTTTCTGTAGCATCTTCCTTGTAACTATCTCTTGTGAAATTAAGGTCTGAATATATGTTTAGTTTTAGTATTTTTTTTGTTACTTTTTTGTTCTTCTTTATTTCTTTTCCCAGTTTCTTATTGGCCACGAAATTGAAAATGGCAAACTCTTATTTTATTTCAGGGAATGCAGCCTCATCTCCAGGCTTTGTTGTCGCTATATAAGTTCTTTGTTCCTGCTCTGATTTCAGTATCTTTGCCTGTAAGGAAGAAGGTAAGGGATTAAGGACAGATAAGTCATCCAGATTGAAATATGTTATTTTTGTTAAAATTAGCCTAAAGATTTTAACTAAAATGTTTAGTCTACTATTTTAAAATCCAGTATTGTGGCAGTGTTTGGGGAAAATTTTTTTAGGGATTGGCACTTCATGCTGATCTTATTTTATGTATTGAATAAATTCCTGATCAGGTAAAAAAACTTCAAATGGATTCGTATGGGTGTAAAAGATTTCATAATTTGTATACTTTCAATTAATGAAGAGTTTTAGACTTTATGTTGTTGCTCTGACTTATAGGTACCTACTCTCTTTATATTTTACATCTGAATTTCTAGATCTATTTTAAGAATTCAGAGAATCTTTGGAAGATGGCTCTGATTGCTGTGAGGCAAAGAAACCAGGGACCTTCTCCAGAACCGCTAAAGCTGATGTTAGGCCCAGCTAATGTTCGTTCTCTAAAAAGAGTAAGTATCTAAAGCCCTAAACGACTTATGTGGCTTTCTTTTACTTTTTCTTTCAGAATATTATGAGAGTACAAACTTTCTTTTATTAAATCCAAATAATAAGCATTCATATGTTAGAGGAAATTATAGATATTTAAATACATTTTAATTACTCAGCATTCTGTGCAAACACATTCAAATTCCATTAATTGAAACACCTTAACAACTGCTTTTATATTTATAATTCATAGTCTATTAAGTTCATTGATAGATTGTTTTATCTTTCTCTTTTAGAAATGCAGTTCTCACTCACTTATACCAGTGCTCAATTCCAATAGCTACACTGAACAATGTGGAAAAAAAGAGATTAGTCTTTCTGACTGTCTGAGTAACACTGGATCATTTCCACTAGAACAACTTCAAAGCTTCCCTCAACTCTTACAGAACATTCATCGTTTAGAGGTATGTGACTGGACCATGTGCTCATTTGTGTTTTCTATTTATTCTGCATGGCCTTTATTTTTGTTATATATTTTCTATATGATGATTTCCTTGTTCCAGTCAGTCAGGACTGACCCACTTTCAGATACTCGCTATTGACCAGTTCTCTCTTTGTAGGTGCCTTCTCAGATGGGCTCAGTGCTAAACAATTCTTTGCTGCTTCACTATATTAATTGTGTCAGAGATGAGTCGATTTTATTGAGGCTTTATTACTGGTTGAGTCAAACATTACAAGAAGGTAAGAATTAATACTTAAAAGCATTGGATGAATGAGGATGGAACAAAATAGTTTACAAATGGGTTTCTTTTATAAGGGTTCCAAATTCTAGACAAGAGGAGCCTTCATATGTTATAATGATTTCTGTGGTAATCATATATTCAGAGTATGAATGCTTCTGTTATAATAGTAAGGCAGTAAGAAAGGAGGTGTGGTGTTAAGGAAACACTGCTCGATGGCCACCAAAACTCAATGGTTTGCTCTACTTTGATGTCTGTCACAATCCAAGGCCTCTTCATCTTTGATTTCCAGAAACTTTCTGTTAAGTCCCCAAAGTCATAGGGTTAATGCTAACCAAACTCAGAAGAGACTAATGTATAAGCCAGAATGTCAATTTATTATTTTATAATAAAAGTAATTCTTTCTGGTGACCAAAATTCTCGTATCTGCCAGCTAGAATAGCCCCTCTCTGCTATCAGCATATATGGGAGCCAGATTTGTTATTAGAAGGTTTCTTAATTATGGAATTAAAAGAAAGAGCAGTCAGGAGTCTTTCATCCAGGATATAGTAAAGCATGAGCATTTCATTCCTCCAAGGGGATATATTTCTCTAGTGATAATATTTTTGTTGACCAGATTGAGTGTTTTTTCCTGGATGAGCAACTCCTGACTGAAATGTTTAAAGTTAGTTTTAGTTGGTTCCAAACTAGCTCTACTTCTTCTACTCAGAGTCTTTTTTTTTTTTTTTTTTTTTGAGACAGAGTCTCACTCCGCTGCCTGGGCTAGAGTGCAGTGGCGTCAGCCTAGCTCACAGCAACCTCAAACTCCTGGGCTCAAGCAATCCTGCCTCAGCCTCTTGAGTAGCTGGGACTACAGGCATGCACCACCATGCCCGGCTAATTTTTTCTTTATGTATTTTTAGTTGGCCAAGTAATTTCTTTCTATTTCTAGTAGAGACGAGGTCTCGCTCTTGCTCAGGCTGGTCTTGAACTCCTGACCTTGAGTGATCCGCCTGCCTTGGCCTAGGATTACAGGCGTGAGCCACCTCACTCGGCCCAGAGTCTTTCTTTAGATAGAATACTAATACAATACAATTTATTAGATTTCCACTTACTAAATTCCTGCTACTCTTAGATTATACCCAGTTCATTCTAATTGAAGTTTAGGGTATTATCAAACTTAAAATTCATATGCTTACAGTTTCCTGGATTATTATGTGACAAAAAGCTAATCACACTCATTATATATGAATTTTACCAGTTTACTTTTTCACTGTAAGCTTTCCCCTATGTTATCAAGTTGTTAAGGAGTGTCTCATTATTACCTCCACATACTTGTTACAATTTATAGTGTGAGTTGGCTAGGATGTATGAGACTTAGGGCTTTTTTTGTCACTTGTCGCTTTAGTGATAATTATGTTTTATGCAGTTTTTATTGTACGCTCAGATGCTTATGTTTACTATTTCTGCTCAAGAATGTGTTTGGAGCAAGGTGAATAATTATGATCGTGGAAAAGAATTTGCCAACTTTCTGGATACTATCATCAGGGCAGAGTCCTTCTTACAAGTAAGATTCTACTTCCTACACACTCTACCAATCTTTATTAAAATTTGTTTAGAAGTCCATTAGGAACCTTTTCTTTGGTACTTGACATCTTTTGTAAACAATATTTGTTCAATTTGAAACTCATTATAATAGAGCTGAGTTGGACTGACTTTTATCTTTGCACTGTTGGATTTGAAGAAAAAATATGTTAAATCATACAAGTAAAAGGGAAAGGCCTATAATTTAAGAGAATAAACTGAAGATATAATTGAATGCATGTGATTAATTGAATTAGCTAGTAAAGTAAATCTGATAGGGTTACTATATGTGTTTTTGTGATCAACAAACACTTTTTGAGTGTCAATTATGTTTCAGCTCAATGAGCTATTTGGCCTTGGTAACCCTGAGTTTTATTTTAAGCTGCAGCTCAGGTCTTAGCACCATCAGGAAACCTTCACTCATTACACCAGTATGGGTTAGCTTCTTATACTATGTGCATAGCTCCCTGGCTTACGTCTATCATGACACTTTCAGCATCCATTTTTTTTCACACATTATGAGCTTCCAGCAGGCAGAAACCATGCCTAACTTGTCTTCATGTACAGGTGTTCAGCTTGATACCAAGTACAGAAGAGATGCTCAATAAATGTTTGTGGAATAAATCTTAAGGATTTGGTGTGACATCATGTAATTGGAAGTTGGGTGTGGATGACAATAGTAAGGATAAAGGGAGGACTCTAGGTTGACTTTGGGTTTCCTGCTTGGTAGGATGGATAACATTGACTGAGAAAGGAATATATGAGGAGCAGGATTGGAAGAAAATATAAGTTTGATTTAAGAGATTCCTGTGGGACATCCAAGACGTCATATCCACTACACAATAAGATAACGAGTCTGTAGAGTTCAGGAAAGAGATTTGGGCTAAGATACAGATTTAGGAATCTTCCTGGTAAAGGTAGTGGTTTTAGCTATGATATGGATGAGATTGTCCAAATAATTCATGTCATGAAAAGAAGGTCTAAGATAGAGTCCTGGTACATGCCACTATTTAAGGGTTATGGTATTAAGGAAAAAAGAGAATCCCTGGATCCTCACTCTGGTGGAAATGTAAGCAACCTAGACATTCAGGCCTCTAAAGATGGAGCTGCTTAGAGTTTGGATTTGTTCTATGTTCTGTGACTAAATTCTAGTTCTATTATATAACATTGTATACATTTTATTGACTGTTCAAATTTATTGCATATACCCCAAAATAATAAATTTATCTTTAGAAAATATTCCATAACTTGACTTTTATCTTCTTTTCAAGTGATGAAGTTTTATGGTGTTTGAAAACAATATTGATAAAGATGGCAATGTATGTAAATACTACTCATCTCATCCTTTTTATGAGGTCTGGCACCTAACCTATGGCTTTTATTATAAGTGACAAAAAATTAGTCTAAGAGTGAAACAACTATAGCATGAAATAAACTGGTTATTTAGAGAGTAATTATGACTGAAAACTTCCATCTAAGGCTTTACTATCCACTTGTTTTACAGGAGGGGTTTTATTCCTGTGAAGCATTCCTGTATAAGAGCATTCCTCTCTGGGATGGCTTCTCTTGTCGATCACAGTTCCTTCAGCTTGTGAGCTGGATTCCTTTTAGTAGCTTCTCTGGTATGTATCATAAAAATTTGGAGTCATTTAATTCCATTTAATATGAATTAAAAGGATTTGAATTATCTTTTTTTTTTTTTTTTTTAATTCCTAGAGGTGAAACCGCTTCTTTTGGACCATCTTGCACAGCTCTTCTTTACATCAACCATTTATTTCAAGGTAAAAAAAAAAAAAGAAAACTTGCTTAGATTCAATAGGAACTATTATTCTGTTGCCAGTGGTACATGACAAACTGCTATTATAGCAGTGGTTTTCTTTCTTTCTTTTTTTTTTTTCCTTTCCAAAGAAATATATATTTTTTTTATTTCAGGATATTATGAGGGTACAAACATTTTCTAACAGTATTCTTTTGGATCTAGGCTTTAAGGTGCTGCATGAATAAGTAGGACTCAAGTCAAAGTTAATGCATAGAATTTTCTGTTTTTAAGATGTTGTCACATATAGTTTTCCTGAACTGTTTCACTTGTAGCAAATGACAAAGTAAATGAACAAATGGCAAATTGTATATTAATAAAAAACTGGGAAACAGTTTGTTATTTATATTTTTGTAGATATGTTTATTCATTTCACAAATATTTATTGAGCCCATGCTATATATTAGACACCTTTCTTGAATACAGTAGTGACCAGAGTAAACAAAACTCCCTGTGACGTTTATGTTATATATTTATAGTACAGTTATTTTCTGCTAATAAAATTGTTCCAACCTTATATGATATAAAATGTGTTACAATTTTGGAGTGGTCTCCAAAAAGACCTCTGTGGCTTCCAGGAGTTCTGCCTGAATGAGTTTGAGAGCCCTTTATTATAGAATATTTATTCCTATTCCAGAAGAATGACAATATAAGTGATGTTTCTTTCACAACTTTCTTAAACTTAAATCACTTACTGTTGACCATATTTATAGGAAAAATATGTTATCCTGGTTAGTGTTTGTCATAATTGAATGGTACTTTATTAATTACCTATCACATTTTTTATTTGCAGTCTATTTATATAACTTTTACTACCTGACCACTACCATCATTCGCGTGACAATACACACCAATTCTTCTAGCTAATAATTTTTTAGGGATTTCATTTTGCAGTTTTTCATGATTCTATCCCAATCTTCTAATTGGGTTATTCTTTATTTCCTCTCTTATTCCACCAATCTAAAGAGCTATTTACTATAAACATTAGGCTTGACCATAGCAAATTGCCATCTTTTGTAGGTCAAAGATGGTTGACGATTGACAGTTTCTTACGGTTCAACATAACATGCATATACATATTTACGCACACATATATTTGAGAGTAAGGGGGTGGGGAGAGGGAGGGAGGGAATAAGTGAGGGAAACAGATAGTGGGCCAAAGACAGAACTCAGGGGAATACACAGTATTTAATTCTCAGGCCAAAAAGGAGAGTCTGAAGGAAACGTAAGAAGGAATTATATAAAAAGAACTAGGATAACGGTAGTGCCAAGGAAACAAAGGGAATACAACAAACAACTTTTTTCATTGAAGAATTATGCCTGGGAAAAGCCCTATAAACCCATGTAACATTATTATTTTTGTTTTGGAATGTTAATTTTCCAATTTTTGTCCTTACTGACTTATCATTTTTTGTATAGTTACAAACATAATGGACATAAATATAAAATCAGAATACAAAATTAACATTGCATAATAATTTCTGTGTTTCTACATAGTCTTCATAATATTTCTAATAGTGGCACCATAGTCCAGAGTACCATAATTTAATTAGTCATTTCTCTATTATTTCTTTTTTTTTATTTCTTTTTTTTATTACTTCATATTATGGGAGTACAAATATTGTTAGGGTTACATATCTTGCCTGTGTCCCCTCTCCCCCACCCTGCTGTGCCTGATCCAGGGAGGTTTCTTGCTGCATTTAGCTGTTTATGTTGTGTGCCCAGAGAGCATTCTCTATTATTGCTAATTTGCTTCTATTCTAGGAATAGATAACTGTTTTGAGAATGTTCATAATATAGATTTTTTTTTCTTAAAACTATTTTTTTGGCATACATTTCCAGAGGTGAGATTACTGGATGAAAAGAAAGGGTTTGAACATTTTATGATCTTGATACATATTGCTATTCCTTTGCTAAAGGGATGTGCACTGCAAGTTTTTGGAAAGAAGAAGGATATAATGGATGAAGTGCTTAAACAATAAGGGTCTAATAGTCTTAGAGAAAGAATTGAGGCTGGTCCAAAGGTAGTGAGTTATCTCACTTGATTGTTCATAGTCAGTTACAGATTGAACTCCTTGTTCTACTATTTTCCCCCCTTCTCACTACTGCACTTGACTAGTCTTTTAAAAAATTATAAAGAATTGGGATTTGGGAGATGATACTAGAGTAAGGGAGACTAGCTGGGAGGATAAAGCAACCTCAGAGATGTGGAGGCCTGGTCTAGGGTAGGTAGAGTGGGATTGGAAAGGAAATGAATAAGTAGGACATTTTGAAGGAAAAAATTGATAGGACTTGGTGACTGGAAATGAAGCATGAAGGACACAAGATGACATTAAGCTTTCTAGCTTAGATAGTAAAAGAACTAGGGATGTTTTGCCTGGGCTAGGGGGAAGACTAAGATTTTCTGGTTCCCTTCAAACATTTGAAACATTATCACATGGAAGGAGAAGGTCTCTGTGTGCCTGCAAAAGAGAATTAAAATATGGACAGTATCTTGTAACAAGTAGAGCAGACTTAAAATGGAGTGAAGGACCTTCAGAGGCAGTATCTTTCCTGACAGTGCAGTACATCAGGCAGAGGTTTAATGGAGATATTTATGTAGAAAAGGTTCACATGTAGGGTAGAACTATGTTCCTCAGCCTTTTCTAAAAGCCCATGTCCGCTTCTCATAAAGACTCATACTTTCCTTTGATGTGGCTGCAGGGATAGAGTGAGTGGGTGGGTAAATAAAGATTTTTGTTTTCTAAATATAACACAGTAATATTGAATATCTTTTCTAATAAGAAAATTCTCTGGTTGACACTGGACTATTGTTTTAGATGATTCCAGAGTTGCTTTCAACTCAAACATATTTCTAACCTGAAAGTGAGATGTCAATCTTTAAAAAAAGACAGTATTAAATAAACTGTTTTGTGAAGTAGCAGTGAGCACCCTATCATTGGAAATACTCAAATAATAACTACTCCATTATTAAGGATGTGTAAGAAAGGTTTTCTGTATTATATAATTTTGGATGGCATGGATTGCTCTTGAATTTATAATCATAAATGCCCTGGATAAATTTTTGTCATGACTGTAACTTTTTGTATGTGAATGAGGCCCTGGGAAATCAAGGCAAAGACTGAGAAAGGAAGACTAGGATTGTTTATTTTCCAAAGTCATAGAAGATAAGATAAATTTATATGACCATGAAAAAGGGAATAAATTGTAGTTTGGATTACAAGGTGGAAAGAATGGGGAACTCATATCTGTAGCAACTTCAAAGGATCTCTGAGAGGGGACAATAAGGATGCTGTTTTTATTTGATTATGTAGTATTTGTCAGGGATGAATGTAATTTAGAGAAAAGTCTGTTCCTAGGCTAAGTTGGGGCAGTCCTATTGAGATATGTTTCTTGTAGAGAGAAAATGGCAAAATAAACTTTTACTTGCATTCATCTGTCTCCTGGAGACTGATCCTGTCGGAGCAGCAGCTTTTGGGTTCTAAATTGGATGTGGTCATCTCCATGATCCCTTCCACCTCTAAGCCTCTGTTTGTTCTGAACACTGTTATGTCATAATGGTTTCATGAATGATTTTTTATTTTGCCCCCTCAGTGCAGTGTTCTTCACAGTCTGAAAGAGCTACTGCAGAATTGGCTGTTGTGGCTTTCCATGGATATCCATAAACCTATGATGAACAGTCCTCTGTGAGTTATCTTATAATCCCCCATAAGGGATGTTCTGTACAGAAATATTTGCATATGTTGGTAGTGTGGCATAAGACCTGTTATTTTCATTTAAATGCTTAGTAATGCTTTTCTGAAAGATTTTGACACTTTTCACCTTTTTTTCCCATAATCCTGAGAGAAAGGTGAATTCTCCAGATTCTTGTTATATAAATTGGAAAGCAACCCCTTGGCCTCTAAGTGACTGGCAAGAGTTAATATAGCACTGGAGAGATGAGATCAGAATTTGCAACTTTAACTTCCATTCAGTTTAACTCACTTTATAAAATGTATTCTTATATGTAAAGTCTATTTTAATGATGGCTAGAAAAATTTCTGAGGTAATTTTGCTGTGTAACTTTGTTTTTATATTCCTCTAATGTATTTTGGTTATATGCATTAGTTTATCTTGAATTTGGAGTTAAAAATCTTTGGCTTCTCCTATATTCTATTATCAGTCACATTAGTTTTTTGGCATTTTTAAAACTTTACATCATAGAAAATTGCAAGCATAAATGTAGAGAAAGCCATGCAATGTTACCCCATGTACCCATCATCCAGCTTCAACAGTTATCAGCTCATGATTAACCTTTTTCATTAATAACACCCTTCACCTTCCTCCTAGATGATTTTTAAGCAAACCCAGATGTCATTTCAACTATAAAAAGTTATACCATTATGATACCTAAAAATTAATAATTCTTAATATCTTCAAATATCTAACCAGTGTTCCATTTCCCCTTAGCTTTTGTTGCAAATAGTTGGTGGTTAGCTTGATTAAAAGATTAACCGAGGCTCATTTATTTTGTTTATGTTTCAAAACATTAAGGAGGCACAAATGTTATTGTTACATGGATAGCTTTTATAATGCTTAAGGCAGAGATATTAGTGTGCCCGTCACCCGAATAGTATTTGTTCATTGTACCTTATAGATAGGTTTTTCACCCCTCCCCCTATTTTTCCATTACATAGTATAGTTCCATTTTTCTTATCCCTGTAGTGATTTCCTACTTTGGTAAGAGAATGGAGAATAGAAACTTCTTGTGAGTAGCTTAGAAAATTGTTTTTAATTCTTCATATTCATTATTACACTGTTTCCATATGTGTCTGATCACTTTTAGAAGGAAATGGGAGACTGGGTGCAGTGGCTCACACCTGTAATCCTAGCACTCTGGGAGGCCAAGGTGGGAGGATCACTTGAGGTCAGGAGTTTGAGACCAGCCTGAGCAACAGAGTGATACTCTGTCTTTACAAAAAAATAGAAAAATTAGCCAGGTGTGGCGGCTACTCAAGTGGCTGAGGTAGGAGGATCACTTGAACCCAGGAGTTGGAGGTTACAGTGAGCTATGATGATGTCACTGCACTCTAACCGGTGTGACAGACTGTCTCAAAAAAAAAAAAAAAAAAAGAAGGAGGAAATGGAGCATTTAGTGGGTAGTAAAAACATCTTGTAAAGCTGTGTTTCTCAAAGCGTGGTCCTTGGACCAGTAGCATCATCATCACCTGGAAGCTTATTAGAGATGCAAATTCTCAGGCCCTGCCCTAGATCTGCTGAATTACACTCTGGAGGAACAGCCTAGTAATCTGTTTTAATACTTTTGTAATTCCAGTGTAATCTAAAGTTTGAGAACCACTATTGTAAAGAAATTGCACTTAGATATTTAAATTCTTCTACCTAAATTACATTAAGAATAGTATGTTTGGAGTGGCTCTCCCTAACCTGCATTCCCCTACTGTGGGCTACTGAGCCTGGACCCAAATTTATTCATTCTCTATTCCCCAAGATAAACAAGAGATTTTTTTTAAAAAAAGAGTAGTATGTTTTGCATCTATAATCTTTGGCCAACTTTCAATGTAAGTCTCAGGTACTCCTGAAATAGGTTCCTTACAATTTCTATATTATTGTTCTAAAAATATTAGGGTCACTATTATGAGAGTCATAAATGAAAGGAGAGCACTTAAAAAGGAGCTCTGCTTTCTAAAATTCTTAAAGCAAATAAGTGGACATACATATAGGTAACTTTGCTTGTCATGGCAATATTTGGCATTTATACTATAGTTCTTAAGTTCTCAGTAATTCTTTTTATTTTAGAGATATAGGTATGATGTCCTATTTCCATCATATGACTGTATGCCATATGATTGTCAAAAGGGAAGTAAATTGTACTTACAGATCATAAGAAGAAAAGGGTAGAAAACCATTTTCAATGAAGGTTCTCCAGGCGGCATTTCTGGTTGTCACAGTGACTGGGAAGGGAATACAATCATCATATAGTAGGTGGGAGCTAGGGATGCTCAATATGCTGCAGTGGTTGGGAAGTAGGAGGCAGTACTCAACAGTGAATTGTTTCTTCCAAAATGCCAGTAGTGTCCTGTGGAGAAACGCTTCAGAAGAGGCTGTTCTGAGCAATCATTGTTTCAAATTATTTTCAGAAACATTTGCCAAATGCTGCCAAAAATCATAGTTAAGATAGTTTTGCAGATAGCCATCTGACTAGGCAGTTGCCTGCCTATTTGAATGATTTCCTAACTCTTGCCTGCTTGCTCTAGCACTGAACCATCATGGTGGTGGGCAATGGTAGAGTCATCGTCATCTCTCAACTGCTAAGACTATATATATATATATTTTTTTTCCTTGTACATAACCATTGTTGAGGTATCAATAGGAGGGTAAAGCTATGAGGTTCACATTTGTAGGTCTTTTCCTAATACACTTAACAGTTGGTTGAAGGACAGGGTTGTTTGGATGGATGGACTGAACTAATTATACGTGTGTGTGTGTGTGTGTGTTTAAAGAAATAGGGTGTTGCTCTGTCACCCAGGCTGGAGTGTTCAGTGGCGTGATCATAGCTCATTGAAGCCTCCAATTCCTGGGCTAAAATGACCCTCCTGGCTCAACCCCTTGAGTAACTGAGACTACAGGTGCATGCCACCATGCCTGGCTAATTTTACATTTTTTGTAAAGATAGACTCTCACTATGACTGGTCTTGAACTCCTGAACTCAAGAGATCCTCCTGCCTCAACTTCCCAAAGTGTTAGGATTACAGACATGAGCCACCACTCTGGGCCCCCATGTGTGCTTTAAAGAGACTCCATTCATTGATTTGGGGAGAACATGTAAAATATCCAGATCTGGTTTTTACTAGAAGAATAAAAGATGCTAAAATTTTTGCTAACCTTTAGGATTGAATTCAATTCCAGTGAAAATATTTTTAATAGCATTTTAGCTCAGGAATTCAGGCACAACTAGGTTTTGATTTGTGTACTGTAGGTTTCTTTCAACCATTGTGTTACAATGTTTCTGACATCATAGGAAACAATTCCTAAAGACATTTTAATGTTTATTTGTGATTTGGTTGGGATTAATTAGTTCTCATTTTTTCTAGTTTACTGTGTTATTTTGCCCATTTTCAGATTTTATCTTGAATTTTTTTTTTAAGTCAACAGAATGTCATAGCACTTATCTTGAATTTTTCATGTTACTTTGACATGAACTCCTTTTTCTGCTTATTTATTAATGGAGTACCCATTTTCTAGTGGTTTTGATATTTCTTACTCAAGGATTTCCATAAAAGCCTACTTGGAGCTTCTTAGTATTTTATTTCTCTGGAGTTCACTAGTAGAGTCTGGTTGCTGAGGATGTTCTATGAATTGATCTTAGTGGTTGTCTAGAGGGCTAAGTTTAGAGTTATGATTAATCACTTTGATTTTTTTAAAAAGTGAATTACACATTTTTTAAAAAAGTGAATTATATGTGAGAGCACTGATAGTTTTCAAAATCCTTACCAACTTTTTGCTATGTATTATCCAGCTTTAGCTTGGAAATTACGAGCACTTTTGCTACTGGATCTGAATGTTATGTATGGTTTCTTATTGCAGAGAGACAACTTTGGGTGGATCCATGAATTCTCTGTCTAAACTGATCGACTATGTAGGGTGGCTGTCCACTATTGCAATGCGCTTGGAGGGCAACAGTATTTTCTTGCTGCACTTTATTTTGGATTTCTATGAGAAGGTATTACCCTTTCCATATTCTCTATTTAGATTTTGTGATGGCTGTCCATGTTACTGTCCTATTATTTAAATTTTATGTACAGCCATTAAGGTGGGCTAGGATTAGCATAGTAAAAATAACTTCACAGTTTGAAGTTAATAATTGTTTCCCATCTCATCCAGGCCCGACCCTGCTTAGCTTCTGAGATCAGATGAGTTCGGGTGTGTTCAGGGTGGTATGGCCGTAGGCAGAAGTTAATAATTATTTTCTCGCCCTGAGTAACTGACTTTCATAAAACAAAGTAGAAAAACAAATGGTTGGTTTTGGGATCCAGGTACTACTTTAATAGACATTGACCTACAATAATGCTGGCCCTAAGACAGAACTCTGCTGTTAGCATTACATTTTGTTCATCCATTGTACATCCTCAACCCCTGGAAAAAACCAAAAGTATCTTCTTAGGTTTTTCAAATCTCCCCTTCTATCTTTGACTTGCCTTATTTCCCCTGGTACCTAGTACCTTTATTATTCTGATCCTCTTCTATTATTTTATAGTATTTGATCTGGACAGAACTATTATCCATGAAGTATCCATTCCCTTCACCAATACCTACTCTTGTTTTACGTATTTCCTTAGAAGCATGCTCCTTTGTTTTCCAGGTTGACAGCTAATTAATATGATAAATAAATATTTTGGGGACTTCAGGAGAAAGATATGTTCCCTTCATTCACAACTCTAAGACCTCTCCCTAGAAAAAAATGAAAGATTTTAAAAATGATTTTCCAAGGCCGGGCGCGGTGGCTCACGCCTGTAATCCTAGCACTCTGGGAGGCCGAGGTGGGCGGATTGCTCAAGGTCAGGAGTTCGAAACCAGCCTGAGCAAGAATGAGACCCTAGGCCGGGCGCGGTGGCTCACGCCTGTAATCCCAGCTCTCTGGGAGGCCGAGGTGGGCGGATTGCTCAAGGTCAGGAGTTCGAAACCAGCCTGAGTAAGAGTGAGACCCCCGTCTCTACTATAAAAAAAAAAAAAAAAAAAGAATGAGACCCTGCCTCTACTAAAAATAGAAAGAAATTAATTGGCCAACTAAAAATATGTATAGAAAAATCTAGCCAGGCATGGTGGCGCATGCCTGTAGTCCCAGCTACTCGGGAGGCTGAGGTAGAAGGATTGCTTGAGCCCTGGAGTTTGAGGTTGCTGTGAGCTAGGCTGACGCCACGGCACTCTAGCCCAGGCAACAGAGTGAGACTCTGTCTCAAAAAACAAATGGTTTTCCAGTAATAATCCTTTATGGTAAGGTTGATGTTTGATGACGTATATTTTAAGCAGGCTTGTGGTTACCTGTTCTATTTAGGAATCAGGCAGGTCCAAACCCGATGTTATAATATTGCTTATCTTATACTAGTGATTCTTTGGGTAACCTTGGTTGAGGAGTTCTGGGGAATAATCTGTATTGATTACTGATGTTATTGATATTGATTACTGATGATATTGATAACTGATGTTATCATTCTTCTCAAAAGGTATGTGACATATATATAAATTATGACCTTCCGTTAGTGGTGTTGTTTCCTCCTGGCGTCTTCTATCCTGCACTCCTCAGTCTGGATACCACTGTTTTGAACCAGCTCTGTTACATTATGCACAGGTACAAAGCCTTTTTACCATTTTATGAAATAGTATATCATAATTCTGTCTTCATCTTTCAGCCACAATACAATAAAAATTCCTATTCATTTTCTGCCAGGCCTATGGAATCAGGAAACATGGCCTTCTTTTGGACATGACCTTCCAATATAGGGCTATGATAGCTGTGTTGTTTTTAAATCCCTCATTGCTGTGATTATAGAATAAAAATTTATAGTTAAGGATCTGTTGTGCAATAGTACCATTGTACTCAGCATTGTTAATTCTAATTACTGTGTCTTAAAGAAAAATTAGTCATTTGCTGACAACTGATAAAAGTGTACGTAGCTTCTCTGGTAAAAAGATCACTTTCTTAGAGATAAGAGGAGCTATTGCCAATTATGTGAAACTGTAAGTATTATTTCTGATCTCTAATTCTTTCACTTAAAAGAATAAAATTATTCTTTTCAATCCATAAGTGTAGACCTTTTTGGCATAATTTGTAGAACTATGTCAAGGTTAAAATGTTTTAAAGCTAATTAAATAATAATTCTCACACAAGAAAAAGTTATAGTTCTAAATTTCCCCTTTATCCTTTTTGCTGCACCTATTTTTTTTATATTATGAAAGTATGTTCTGTAATAGTGACTGACTGCTTTTGAGCTTCTGTTACAAAGTTTTTTTGAGAGAGTCTCACTCTGTTACCTGGGCTGGAGTTCCATGGCATCAGCCTAGCTCACAGAAACCTCAAACTCCTGGGTTTAAGCAATCCTCCTGCTTCAGCCTCCCAAGTAGCTGGGACTACAGGTATGCAACACCATGCCCGGCTAATTTTTTCTTGTTTGTATTTTCAGTTGTCTGGATAATTTCTTTCTATTTTTAGTAGAGATGGGGGTCTCGATTTTTTGCTGAGGCTGGTCTTGAACTCCTGATCTCAAGCAGTCTTCCCCTTTTGGCCTCCCAGAGTGCTAGGATTACAGGTGTGAGCCACCATGCCCAGCCAGTTTTTTTTTTGTTTTTTTTTTGAGACAGGGTCTTACTCTTGCCTGATCATAGCTCACTGTAACCTTGAGCTACTGGGCTCAAGCAGTCCTCCTGGCTTAGCCTCCCAAGTAGCTGTGACTACAAGTGCTTGTGGCCCTACCTAGCTACTTTAAAGCATTTTTTGTAGAGATAGGGTCTTGCTATGTTGCCCAGGCTGCAAGTATCCAACTTATTGAACCTCAATTAATTTTTATTCTTTGAGGAGAATATACCACAAAATGATAAAAACCTTAACTAGACACCTGGATATTTTTGTATGTACACATTTGCATATATTCACATTTAAAATGTACATTTTTGTTTATTTTACATTTCAAAGGCATGTTAACTGTTTCAGTCTTTTTGTTCTATTAGGTATCGTAAAAATCTGTCTGCTGCAAAGAAAAATGAGTTGCAACAAAAGGTATGAATGATAAACCTCTGTTACATCACTGTTGTTTAAAAATTGAGCCAGCCACGGTGGTTCATGCCTGTATTCCTAGCACTTTGGAAGGCTGAGGCTGGAGAATCACTTGAGCCCAGGAGTTTGAGACCAGCCTGGACAACATAGTGAGACCCTGTCTCTACAAAATATTAAAAAATTAGCCAGGCGTGGTGGTCTTAGTTACATGGGAGGTTGAGGCAGGAGGATCACTTGAGCCCAGGAGTTGGAGGCTGCATTGAGCTATGATCATACCACTGTACTGCAGCCTATGTGCCAAAGCAATGCCCCATCTCTAAAAATATATATATTAGAAGTTGAATCTAGCTATATATGACCTGTTGGGAATAAGAAGGAAAGGGAGAATAATAGGTGATGATAACAATTTTATTTGTTTTTCATTAGGCAAAACCACAGTTCAGTTTCAGCAGCAAGACCTATGAAGAGTTTAATCACTATTTGATAGCCATGGTTGGTTGCCTGTGGACATCCAAACCCTTTGAGAAGGGAATATGTATTGACCCCCAAATCCTAGAAAAAGCTGGAGTAGCAGAATATAAAAGCAGTTTAAATTTGGTTCATCACCCTTCTCTACTGAGTTATGCTGTTTCCTTTTTGCTACAGGTAAGGATATTTAAAGAATTTTTTAGATTTTATATAGTAATGTTGTGATGGTGGAAATATGAAATGCCATAAATTTAGTGTGTCTGAAATGCAAGTCTCTGTCCTCTAAAAGAACTTAGGCTTATAGCAGATAGACTTGTAAACAAATTACTACAATACAGTGTGGAAAAATGAGAAAAGGTATAGTTATGAGGGAGTGATTAGTTCATTTCTGCTTGAGTAGAGGTGATTTCAGGTAAAGAAAGGCTTCATAGAAGTACAAACTATCATAAAATCCTCCTAGACATGATGGAAAATGTAGTCTAGATAATATTATAATTAGAATTATAGTCTTAGCTGAAGACTGCAGATTTTTATTTATTTTTATTTTTGTTTTATAATTTTATAATTATGTCATCCTCATGCAGGGGCCATGCTAATCTTCTCTGTATCGTTCCAATTTTAGTATATGTGCTGCCAAAGCGAGCATAAGACTGCAGATTTAATGGATTGATATATGCAGGCAGGTGGCAGGGTGGTGGTGATGGTGTCTTTTCAGGACTTTGTTTTCAGCCATTTCTGTCATTTTCAACATTGTCAGTGACTTGGAGAAAAACTCAAAAGGTGTCCATCTTAAATGCATGGATGACACAACAGGGTGGGATTACAAATACCCTGAAAGAATTTGGATTCAGAATTCCCTTAACAGACTGAAACATTGAGAAATCTAACAAAATGAAAAAAAATTATACAGAGTGGGGGAGATATTCTTTGAATAAATGTTTAGTTTATGCATACAATGAACTCAGCACTACAGTGAACAAGACGCATCTGGGTGTTGTCCTCATAGAGCTTACAGTCTAGTCAGGGAGGCATTCATTAAATAGACATCTTAGAAGAAACAATGATGAGTAGTGAAATAGGGAAAGTATAGAGGACAGTGAAAAAATACAGAGATGTTAAGTTCAGGCTTTGCAGAAATGATGCTAATTGAATTTTTGAGGGATGAACATGAGCTTGCCAAGACAGGAGCAGAATTTAAAGAATAGTACAAAGGTGCTGAGCAAAGATAGTTACGACAGGAATCAGCAAACATTTTTGTAGATGGCCAGATTGTAAATATTTTAGGTTTTGCAGGCCACATGGTCTCTGTCAAGACTACTCAACCTTGCTGTTGTAGCATGAGGGCAGCCATAGACAATGCGTAAACAAATGACTATAGTTGTGTTTCAATAAAAGTTTATTTACAAAAACAGGTGTTGGCTGGATTTGGGTTTTGACCCTTGTGTTAAAGCCTTTTATGTTTGAGGAACTTGAAGTAAAATTGTAGGACTACAGCAGTGTTTTTACTCTGACTGAGCAGCAGAATTGCCCAGAGTGCTTTTCCAAAGTGTACATCCCTTGTTGCTCCTACCCTGAGACTCTGATTTAATAACTGTGGAGTGACATTCATGATCTGCTTTTTAAATATAATAACTCTGATATACAGTAAGCATTGGGCTTTTCACCCTGTGAGCCTGCCATGTTATGACACAGCACCAGAAACCAACCAGATGCAGTCACCTGATCTTGAACTTCCCAGTCTCCAGAACTATAAGAAGTACATGTCTTTTATTTATAAATTACCAGATCTCAGGTATTCTGTAATAGCAACAGAACACTGCCTAAGACATCACCTATTCTTTCAGATTGTTCACTTTTCCCATTAACCTTAGCATGTTCTTCGTGGTTATTTTAAATTGTTGGTGTCATAATTCCAAAATCTCTGTCATCTATGTCTGATTCTGTTTCTTGTATTTTCTCTTCAGACTGTTTCTTTCTTCTTGCTTTCTAGCATGCTTTGTAATTTTTTTGTTGTTGAAAACCAGACCTGACATTTCGTAATAAACTGAGATAAAGTGGTCTTTATTGTGAGAGAATATGTTCATGTGAGTAGGAGTTACACTGCATTTACTATTTGCTGTAATTGTAGGTATCTGAAACTTTTGCCTTTTCTAGAGTCCTTGTTTTTGTATGTTTTGTTGTCTTTGAGTTTTCATAGAAACTCTTCCTTAACTAATGTTTGAGCTTTGCAGTTCTATCAGCTGTAATCCTCTGTTATGCAGAAGCCTTGTGACTTTGCGGGAGGGCGAGCATTCTATAATTGTATGATTAAGTCTCAGTCTTTTAGTAGGACTGTGCCCCTGCATTGTGACCTAGTCACTTAATATCATATGTTTTATTATAATAGGAATATATATTCATACTTGAAAGCTGAAAAATACAGAAAAATAACATGAAAGTAAAATTTATAAAGAAAAGAGTTGAGAGCCACTGGGTTAGACGATAGAATAGTAAGCAGATGATGTTTTGAAATGTAGTTAAGGATCAGATGTTGAAAAAAGTAATATGAAGGCCACCAAAAACAAATTGCTTGATTTCAATATTTGAATAAAAATTACATTTTTAACTATTCAGAAGAATTTCAGAAGCAGTATATTTTAGTGATTTTTCTGATATTCCTTCTTTTTATTTTCTTGCCTTCATAATAACTTGCTTGATTAATATAGCATACAAAAACCTGTTTTAAATTAATAATATTACTGTTAATATGAGGCTACTAGGTGAAATTTAAAATGTTTTCAGTTCTTTTTCTCCCTGGAATAAATCCTTTTAAAAATGTACAGTACACACTATTTTACATACTGTTAGGTGCATTTGTTTCAGTTTGTTTTCATGTTTTAGAGATTGCTTTTTTCTTTTAGATTTAATTTTATTCCTGAAATATGTAAAACATTTACACGATTCTAAGTTCTAAACTATGAAAGTCTCATTTTTATCCTTTTCTCCTCCATCTTTTATAATCTTCTGCATTGAGGTAGCCATTTCTGTTGTTTTGTTTGTTTGTTTGTTTGTTTTTCCCATCCAGTGTTTCTTTTCTTTAAACTTAGTCAACATTGTTTTATAATCTGTATCTGATCATTACAATATCTGAAGTTTTTGTGTGTCTTTTTCTATTGCCTGTTTTTCCTGCTGCTTTTTTCTCATATGTTGTGGATATATGTTTTCATTTCTTTTGTGTATTAATACTTAGAGGTGGGAATGCTGGATCATATGGTAACTCGATGTTTAACCGTTGGGACAGCTTCCAGACTGTTTTCAAAAGTAGCTCCACCATTTTACATTCCTACCAGCAGTATGTGAGGGTTCCATTTTTTTTTTTTTTTTGAGACAGAGTCTCACTTTGTTGCCCAGGCTAGAGTGAGTGCCGTGGCGTCAGCCTAGCTCACAGCAACCTCAAACTCCTGGGCTCAAGCGATCCTTCTGTCTCAGCCTCCCAAGTAGCTGGGACTACAGGCATGCGCCACCATGCCCGGCTAATTTTTTCTATATATATTAGTTGGCCAATTAGTTTCTTTCTATTTATAGTAGAGACGGGGTCTCGCTCTTGCTCAGGCTGGTTACGAACTCCTGACCTCGAGCAATCCGCCCGCCTCGGCCTCCCAGAGAGCTAGGATTACAGGCGTGAGCCACCGCGCCCGGCCTACATTCCTACCAGCAGTATGTGAGGGTTCCATTTTTTCCACATCTTTTTTATACTTGTTATTATCTGTTTTTGTGATTCTAGCCATCCTAGAGGTGTGAAGTGGTATTTCATTGGAGTATTGATTTGCATTTCCATGATAGCTGTTGATGTTCAGCATCTTTTCATGTGCTTCCTGACCATCTGTATATTTTTTTTGGAGAAATATCTATTCAAACTCTTTGCTCATTTTTTTCATGAGGTTATTTGCCTTTTTATTACTAAGTTGTAAGCTTTCTATATTCTAGATATAAGTCCCTCATCATATATATGATTTGTGAAAGTTTCCCCTTATTCTGTGGGTTGTCTTTTCACTTTTTGTTGGTGCCTTTAGATTCACAAAAATTTTTAATTCTGATGAGACAAATTTATAATTTTTTTCTTTTATTGCTTATATACTTTTATTGTCCAAGCTAAGAAATCACTGCCTAACCTAAGGTCATGAAGATTTACTCCTGTATTTTTCTAAGAGTTTTATTCTTTTTTTTTTTTTGAGACAGAGTCTCACTTTGTTGCTCAGGCTAGAGTGAGTGCCGTGGCGTCAGCCTAGCTCACAGCAACCTCAATCTCCTGGGCTCAAGCAATCCTGCTGCCTCAGCCTCCTGAGTAGCTGGGACTACAGGCATGCGCCACCATGCCTGGCTAATTTTTTCTATATATATTAGTTGGCCAATTAATTTCTTTCTATTTATAGTAGAGTTGGGGTCTCGCTCTTGCTCAGGCTGGTTTCGAACTCCTGACCTTGAGCAATCCGCCTGTCTCAGCCTCCCAGAGTGCTTGGATTACAGGCGTGAGCCACCGTGCCCGGCCTTTCTAAGAGTTTTATAGTTTTAGCTCTTATATTTGTATTTTTGATCAATTTTGAGTTGACTTTTGTAAATGGTGTGATATAGGTTTCCAACTTCATTTTTTGGTGTGTGGCTATTCAGTTGTCCCAGCACTGTTTACTGAAAAGGCTATTTCCCCATTAAAATATCTTGGCACCCTTGTTGAAAATCAATTGATCATAGATGTATGAACTCTTGATTCTATTTTATTTGCATATATACATATGTATATATGTGTGTGTGAGTGTGTGTCTATTCTTATGTGAGTACAATGCTGGCTTGATTAGTATAGATTTTTATTAAGCTTCAAAATTGGGAAGTGTGAGCTCTCTAATTTTCTTCTTTTTCAAGATTGTTTCCTCTGTTCTTGGTCCCTTGAAATTCCATATGAGTTTTAGAATCAGCTTGTCAGTTTCTACAAAGAATCCAGCTGGGATTCTAATAGGTAGTGCCTTGAATATGTAGATAAATTTGGGCAGTATTGCCATCTTAATATTAAGTCCTTCAATGCATGAACATTGAATGTCTTTCAATTTATTTTGGTCTTCTTTAGTTTTTTTTCAACAATGTTTTGTGGTTTTCAGAGTATAAGATTTACACTCTTTAGTTTATTCCTATGTATTTTTTGATGC